ATATAAACTCAAGAGCTACGCTTTAATCTCATAAAAAAAATCATCGAATTATTTAAATGATTCATTCTAATTATCCYCAAATAATTACATAGTTACAAGTAGTAAATTTCAACCTTGATGGTATTTTTATAAAGCAAAATGGTCACGTATTGCTCAAAATACACATTCTTTAATTTTAGAGGCATTTTGATAATTTTATAAAAATAATAATATAAAAATAAAGTTAATAGACCAATTCCCAAGACATAAGGTCATTTTGGTAATTAAACGGGATAAATAATCGAAATGGGGTCAAAGTTTGCATTTTAAACAAACTTAATGAAAGTCTCATAAAATTATTATGCATAAAATTATTTCTGGAAATTCAAGAGACTAAATGCTAATTTTTTAAACTTAAATATATAATGTATATTAACAACAACGGTGAATAATAAGAACATAATGTATAGATAGCTTGCTAGTTAATGCTTCGATGCTGCGTGGCTGAGGTCGCGGGTTCGAGCCCCGCCCTCAGCGTGCGGTCTTATTCTATTTTTTCTAAGGTAGTCGCACGCGTTATTGGGTCTGGACCAGCCTGTCACCCAGGCCCAAACAGCAGCAAAAATGACAGCAGCCATGGCTGCAAATTGAAGCTTTTCAACTTCGAAAATAGCTCGTTTCTTGACATTTTTTCCTCGTTCTTTTTGCACAAAACTCTTGGTAATAATTTTACCAACACTTTGACATAAAGAACACAAATTTTCATTAAAAAATGAGTTCCATTTACTCATTTAAAGTTTTAGTTTTAAACTAAACCGAACGAAACTTTAAACTTCAAAATCAAACCATAAAACACCAAATCTGGAATGTAAGGCTACTAGGGTTCTATAGAGGACTAAAAAACGAAGCTAACCATATCAAGAACATGAATTTTAGTTGAATATTTTACCTCTAATCGACTAAAAACGAGGATTTTTGGCTTGAACTTCAACTCCGGTTTTCTCCTTCAAAACTCCACGAAAATCCGAGTGGTTTCGAGCTAAATGAAGAAGACAACGAGACCTACTTAAATCTGGTTTTATTTGGCTTATTCGTTGACTAACCGAGCCAATAGGAGCCTTCTAAACATCGCATTGAAAAATCGTTTTTAACTTTTCAGACTTTGTCCTATTTACGAAACAGGTCCCTCAAAGTTGGACCACTTTTCACCAGACACTACCCCTTCACTATGAGAAATGACCTACAACCCTTGGCTTGAGTTTTTCTTTCACTTTTGATCCGATTTTTAAACTTCTTTTAATTTCTTTATTCATTTAATTTATATATATATATATATATATATATATAAGTACGTGTGTGTGTGTTTTATAATTCAAAAAAAAATGAAAGGAATATTAATGAAGATAAAATTATTTATTCCTCGAAATTTTTGGGTTTTACAACTTCCAATGCCTCCTTATATATGGGGAAGAGAGTGTATAAAGGACATCCAATCATTACCTCAAGGTGAATTAGTATAAGGCTAAAAAATACAAACAAAAATAAAATAGAAGAAGGAAAACAGCTCATATACAGCTGGAGAAAATATCTGGATGAATCTTCAAGTTGCAAGTTTCCCAAGAAGCAGCAACAAGGCTCGTAGACATCCTACAGTAGTGCCACAGTGGGCAGTGCTGTCAGAAAATACAAGTTTTTGGAATAATACTTATTCCTTTGTGTTTCATCATCTTTTTAAAACTTTTTGGAATAAAAGAAGAAAAACAAAAAAATTGGGTATTTAATAATAACAAAAAATAAATAAATAAATAGGAAATAACTCTTAAAAATAAGAGTTATCAATGATCAATACGAGAATCTTATAACTTCAAATCTAATTAAAAAAAATCACCAAAAACCGAAAAATAATGTATTTTGCTTTTGAGTAATGTTGCATCCTCTTAAAGTTTTTACTAAAACATCAATTCTATAAACAATTTGAAAAAATGACAAGTGACACTTTTATAGTAAATGCTTAAGAATTAAAACTTTTCTTGTGTCAAATCGTATATTAAAAACGTAAAAAGAAAATGTAAGAATAACGTTGATAGCGAATATTTTTTTAATTTAAAATCTTTTACTAGGAGTATATTCAAATAAGAAAGTTAAATATCATAAGAAAATAATAATGAAAAGTTATGTTCAAATGTGATGACTCTGCGCTACCCACAAAGTAGGTGACTGTCCTGTGATTAGTCGGTTCGCATATCGGATTGGATATCCAGGTTAAAAAAATGAAAAATCAAGTGAAAGTTTATATGTGAATAATTGAAAAATCCGAAAAAAATATTTGAAAATTCATATGTAAACTATCAGTGCAAATTAATCATATGAAATCACATAAATATTTTCAAATTCAATGCATATATGAACGTTACCATAACATATTATTTTTACTTTCTCATGATATTTAATCTTTTTATTTGAACTTTTCTAAATCCGTAAAAACACTTCAAAAATAACTTGTTAAAAAAAAAACTCTCTATAATTAAGTTGTATTACACTACAACAAAATTGAGTTTATAGAACACCCTCAATCTCTAGGTGTCCACATAGACCGCTTTATAGAACTTAATTTATATGACCAAAATATAAAGTGTCTTATCTAAAAATGTTGTAATAAGTTTATATGACGCTTTTGGGCGTCTTAGCAAGTTTTTTAGAACATTTTTAATACAAAGTGTCGCATTAGCAACTTTATAGGACACTTTTGAGAAAGTATCCTATAAACTCAATTTTTTATAGGACATTTATTTTTATAGGACAGTTTTCAATAGTATTCTATAAAGTTGCTAATGAGACGGTTTATATTAAAAGTGTTCTAAAAAACTTATTATGATGTCAAAAAACGTCATATAAACTTATTACAACGCCTTTAGATAAGACGTTTTATTTTTTTTGTCTTATAAACCAAGTCTTATAAAGAGGTTTATTAAGACGCTTAGAAATTAGGAGTGTCCTATAAACCCGATTTTGTTGCAGTGTTAATTTATTTTATTATTTATTGTTTTGGGATGGTTTATTTTGATGTGATTGATAACATGAAAGATATTTATTCTATAAATTGTCTCCGGTTGAAGTTGATGGAGAAAGAGAAAATGGAGTATTTTAGTGGTATCTTAACCTCAGTGTTATTATTAGTATTATGTGTTGTGGTGACCGCCGATGATCCTCTAGTTCCGGCGTTATGTTTCTTCGGCGACTCCGTAATGGACGCCGGAAACAACAATTACCTCACCACTTTGCTCAGAGCCGACTTCCTTCCTTATGGAAGAGACTTCGTAACTCATAAGCCTACCGGCAGATTCTGCAATGGAAAACTAGCCGCCGATTACACCGGTAATTATATATATATATATATATATATATATATATATATATATATGTTCACCATTTTCAGAAAAATGCGTTATTAAATCTGTTGTGTTTGTGTTGTACAGCTGAATACCTAGGATTCAGCACATACCCACCTCCTTACCTGAGCCGAGCCGACGTAACGACTCTCTTGACCGGCGCCAACTTTGCTTCTGCTGGTTCTGGTTATTTTGACATGACAGCACAATTATACGTACATCTCCTCCTATCTTTCAGTCTTCTTATTGTACGAATTTAGTAAAGGGTGATTTCCATGACCGGAAGATTAATCTGGTAAAATATGATTAAAAAGATGACTAAAACTAAGAAACAAGAGATGACACAAGGAAGAACATGAACTTAAATTTAAGAACAAGAGAGGATATAAGGAAGAGGCTTTTACATGTTTAAATGTTTTAATACGCTGTTTTATATTCCTTCGATCTTAACACAAGTATCCACATTTCTATTATAATTTATCTCATGTAATAAGTATTTAATTTTAAAAATTAATATATAGTTTCCAATTCTACTATTAATTATAAGATGGAAGAAAAAATATATCTCTGTTATTAAGAGTAAAATCGTCACTTTGTTAATGAAAAATGAAATAATTACACATGCTAAAACTCTGTTTCATTTTTATTGTGGATATATATATATTTTGGGACGGACGAAGTAAGTAAATATTAAGTTTATTGAATCAAACAATTATATATTTTATTTAAATATTTGCATTCTTAAATAATGACGAGTTTTTAAGAGTTCAAAATTTAAATGCATGATTATTTATGATGGATAATATAAGGGTAGATTGCCAAATTAGGGAAGAATAGAAATGGAAGTCGGTGACAAGTGACCACTTGTTGTTGTGTTCTTGCAGCAAGCAATATCGTTACCACGACAACTATCGTATTACAAGGACTGGCAGAGTCGAGTGGTGACTATGGTCGGAAGCGATAAAGCTAACACTATTTTTTCTGGTGGAATTCACATTTTAAGCGCCGGAAGTAGTGATTTCCTTCAAAATTACTACGTCAACCCCTTTCTGAACCGACTCTATACACCTGCACAGTTCTCAAACCTTCTTATGAAGTCATATTACAGCTTTGTGCAGGTATCGACTTCATATCTCTGTTTTCAATCGTCTGCATTATTTCTTATACCAAGATTGTAAAGGTGTAAGTGGTGATTTATCTTCAATGCATTACACAATTTCAAAACCCAATAAAATATTCTAAAAATAAATTTGTTATCATTCAATTACATAAATTTTAGTGATTTTTTGATGGATCCGTCAAAAAATCAATGATAGATTTGTGACGGATCGTGAAAAGTCAACTTTTCATTGATTTTTTTACTGTAAATTTGTCACTAATTTTAAAAATAAAGAATAACAAATTATTTAATTCCGATCAATTTTCTAGTAAATTTACGATAGACTTTTTCTTTTATTTAATTTTAATAATAATCCATAGAAATACGAGACAATTTGTATAATGAAAAAGATAAATTAATTAATTAATTAATTTTAGTGGCGGATGGAATCCATCGGTGAACCTGTTTTTTGTGAGGTTTTCACCGGTCGTTAGATCTGCCAAAAATTTATTTTTTAACAGTTTTTTTGGACCGTAAAAGCCTCAATTTTAGTAAGTGCCTTATATCTATAAGTTGTTACTAATATATAATAATTAAAAAAACTGCTTTTTTATTTTTTATTTCCTCATACTGTAATATATATGTTAATGGTGTGTTGTATTTTGAATATGCTTTTGTGTTTTAAATCATCAACTTTTTAAATAATTCAAAACATAAAAATGAAATTTATTATATGTATAGAGGGAGGTTCAATTAAAAAAATTAAATATATTGAGAAAATAAGAAAGGAATGTTATGTGAATGTTGATTTTTGATCATTGAAAAAATTCATTTGAAGATGTATATGTAAACCTATGTTAATAATGTATAAGATTGATTCACATATGCATTTTCAAGTAGATTTTTTAAAATGTTTTCAATGATTCACATATGAATCGGCACTCAAATTTTCCTTTTTACTTTTCTCATGATATTTTGCATTTAAACAAGCCACTGTAATAAAATTATAACTATAATATTAATAACCAAAATATTATTACAATCAAATAAACTAACAGTGTAGAAAAATCAAGTTTTATGGCCATTTTATGATAAATATAGTTCTACATCAAGTAGTTTACTGAATTTGGTGTGATAATATATATATATATATATATATATATATATATATGAGAGGAGCGTTCAAATGCAAACCATCCAATTTGTACAAACCGTGCAAACTACCCTCATCCGTCGATTTCATTATTTAATCTTATGAAAAAAAATTCATGAAATTGTTTAATCTTGTGACATTGTTTCGTATAATTTTTTTTGATGAAGTTATTTCATATATGGTTATGAAATTGTTACATATAATACTTAATGAAATTTTAATGAAACTGTTTCATGTATTTCTCTAAAATTAAAATAATGAAGATGATAATATCTATGATTAACACCATCCACAATAAAAATGATTAATCAACCTCTCATAATTACAAAAAAAAATGAACAAAATGAAAAATTATGATTGGTTGAATGAGGTTTGTACGGTTTGTACAAATAACGTGGTTCGCAAAGTAAACATCATCTCTCTATATATATGAGGTGACATTTAATGTAAAATCATAGGATTTGGTGTAGGGTTTTGGAGATGTTGTCGTAGTCGCATAAAAATGATAACCCCTGAATATGTATGATTATTGTGTGCAGAATCTTTACAGGTTAGGAGTAAGAAGGATCGGTGTAACATCCCTACCACCGGCCGGATGTTTGCCGGCGGCCATCACTATATTTGGTTTTGGAAAAAACAAGTGTATGCGGGAATTAAATGACGATGCTGTGTTATTTAACAACAAGCTAAACGCAACATCTCATAAACTAGTGAAGAAATATCCGGACCTCAAACTTGTGGTTTTCGATATATATCAGCCTCTTCTTGAGATGATCATCAAGCCGACTGACAAGGGTACGTAGGATTCCAACTGTCGTTCTAACAGAGTACTTAATAAAACTTTAAGTTTATATGACTAATAATTGTGTGTCATGAAGTATATGACCTTAAATGAGTATTTTAATTTACTAATGCAAAAACAACTCCATATCCATGAGAACGTCATGATTTTAATAGAAAAATCATTTAAGGTCACCTAAGTTCATACTCATAACTTATTGCAGTACCTTTAGATAGAACGTAATTAATGAAATACTCTGTTGAAAGTATGTATGTCTTAAAATACCCATTTCTTTGTAGTGAACACGGTTTGGATCGTGGGCTTCTCTAGTTCTTTGTCATGGCTAAGACATATACGGATTCAAATCGTGTTACAGGTTTTTGCGAGTCGAGAAGGGGTTGTTGCGGCACAGGGACACTTGAGACCTCATTATTTTGCAACATGAGGTCTATTGGTACATGTTCAAATGCAACAGGGTATGTGTTTTGGGATGGATACCATCCATCTGAAGCTGCCAACCAAATCTTGGCTCAAAGTCTACTTGCACAAGGAATCCCCTTGATTTCTTGAACAATTTCATTTGGTATTCTTGTAAGATTTGCTTTTATGTATCTTCATGTTTGTAATAATTAAGGTTCAAAAGTTGCAATAAGAGGTTAAGATTTAGTAAGGTATTATTGTTTTTTAGTTTTTTCGTGTAGGTTTTGTATTGTAACGGAAACTAAACGTTAAAACTTTTGAATTAATAGAAACAATGAACGGAAGTTACTGGACAAGACAGTTACGTTGGGTGTAGGGTGTTTTAAATGTGCAAAACCATGATCGTGTTGATAGTTGGAATCACGCGTTTTGTTGGGAAATGTGAATTTGGTTGCGTATATGTGTATGTTTAACGAGGACATCAAGATCGTATGTGTGGAAATCATGACTTTCATCCAAAATTGGTAGATAACATATCGTTAATAATTTATAATCATAGCTTTTATGTTGATTTCACGTTATTGATTCAAGATATTACAGTTTAGATTTTTGTTTGATAATAAATTCAAAACATATTTGATATGATTATTTTCTTAGACAAAATGCCCTGAAAATTGAATATGTTTTATTTTGGTTCATAATTTAAAAAAATATATATTTATTTAATGATTAGTAACTTAAAAGTAAAAATAACTTTATTTTAGAAAATTTACTTTCAAAACTAAATTCAAGTTTCTCCTGTATCATGTCATGCATGTCAATTACTATTAGAAAATTGAGTATTAACAACGAATTTTAGCAATTAAACTAATCCCTCATTAATTAACGACAGATAGACAACAAACCTAATTCGTTGCTAATTAACGAGGAATTAAAATGAATATTTTTAAATAGAAACTAAATCAGAATTTGTTATTTCTATGTATTTTCCCTTTTTTGTCAAAAATAAAATAAATTTTAAAAGAAAAACATCTTTTTAGAATTTATTTAATATTTTACAGATTTATAGGTTTTAAATATTAATTATAAAAAAACTCTAAAATTAATAATTTAATATATTTCTGGCGGATGTATCCTCCGGTAATATTTAAATTTTAAAATATTTAAAAAAAAAATTAATTTCTTTTTTCCAGTAGATATATCCGCCTGTAAATTAATCTAATTTAAAAAAAAAAACTTAAATATTTTCTTAATTTAATCACAAATTTTTAAATAAACCGTTGGAAAATTTTCGGCGGCCGTGATCTGCCGGAAAATGGTAAAATCAAACCGGTAATTCCGCCGGGAAATTAATCACCGCCGCCAAGATTTCTGACGGCTATATCCGCCGGAAATGATGCACTGTTTGGTAGTGAAAAATTTTAAAATATTTAACTACGATATATTATATGTTTTAAAGATTTCAACATCTATTATATTATTAAAATATTTTTAAATTAATTTATCCTTTTAATATAATTCTTTGAAATAGAGAAATCTCTATAATTCTCTAAAACTTGATATGAAGTGAAAGAAATACTTTCTTTAATGACATAATTGATGTTATTTTAGAGGTATTGACTTTTGATATCGATATTTTTTATAAACTTAAACATTTATCGAACACTGATTTTATCCAACTTTTGTCTTTTAGTTGTAACAAAAGAAAGATAAAAGCATTACCAAACGATATCTTAGATTACGTATTCTAATAATCTCTCGGATTCGTTTTAAATTATGTATTTTAGTAACTGTTTATGTTCGTTTTTCGTTTCACATGGACACTTTTGTAACACAAAGATAGCATGTTTGTTGGCAAATCATAGGCATTTTTACGTTTTCAGGATGTTATTGTTGGGTAACGTAGGTCGCAAAAGCACTTCTTTGTAGTTTATAGGTTTTTATTGAAAGTTTGATGAATGAAAAATGCTTTTTTTTTACAAGTGTGTTGAATGAAAATAAAGAATGACAGAAAAATACCACTTTGTATGTACATACATAGAGAGAGGTTCAAACGAGAACAATAATAAAATAAGAGAAGACGAAAACGGCAAATCATGAGCAAAATCACATGTGATATTACATTAACAGTCAACGAAAGGGTGTGCATGCAACGTGGCCCACAACCTCAAGTCGCCGCAAAGTTGCATGAATCACATGTAATTTTTTACACGTGATTTTAGTGTAAAATCACATCTGATTTGGCTGTTTTTCTTATTCTTTTTTTCTAGCTATTGTTCTTGTATGAATCTGACTCTATATATATACATACATGCATACATACATATCTAAAATTGAGCTAAAAACTACGATAATTACAAAAAAAAGAGCATACAAATCGTATATGAAATTCTCGCCCTTGGGTTGAGAGTAGAAGACACTACCAAATAGGGCAACATTTTCGGCGGCTATATCCGCCGGAAATGTTGGCGTCGGTGATTAATTTACCGGCGAATTTTTATTTTTCCAGCGGATTCCGATTGCCGGAAACTTTTCACCGGTTTAATTAAGAAATCTTGATTAAATTAAGAAAAAAGTTAAGTTTCTTTAAAAAAATTGAATTAAATTACCGACGGAATATTCCGCCAGAAATGCGTCGATAATAATTTTCGCTGGAAAAACGAATTTAAAAAAATTAATTTTTTTAAAACATTTATTTATTCTTTAAATCTTATCGGTGGATAGATCCGTCAGAAATATATTTTAATTTTAAAATGATTATTTTTATTCTTTAAATATTCCACTTATTTCCAACGGATATATCCGCCGGTAATCCGTCGGAACTTTAAAAAAAAATATTAGTTTTAGAACATTTTTACAATAAATATTTAAAACCTGTAAATCTGTAAAATATTAAAAAAATAAAAAAAATGAAATGCAACTAAATATCATATATTAAACTAAACAATTGTTACAAACAAAAGATATTCAATTTAAAGTAGCACACAATTGTTACAAACAAACTAAATTGTTCCAAACAAACAGACGATATTCAATTTGGTGGCAGGGGGAAATGTTGTGATTGACTGAGTTGTCTAACAAAAGCAATTATATCTTGAAGTTGTTTATCCTGTTGCTCATCCACTATCCGTCGGCGCTGATTTTTTTCTTGTAAATCTCTAAGTTTAGTCCTTAAGGCTTCAATTTTCTATAAAATAAATAAAGTGTATTAATATTTTATATGAATTATAAACTAAATTGATAAACATCATCAAAGAAAAAGAAACACATACCCGACTCTCTGAAGACGATGGACCATCTTGTGTGTAGTTCCCAATCAAAACCCAATTGAGATTCTGATTGTACCCAAATAGACGACCTTTCTTGCTTCCCCCAACCGCATGCTCCCACAACTATTTATCAACTAAGGGATAGGTGGAGGAATCATCACCATATCTTTGGGTGAGATCCGTTGAATAGTCATCCTATATATGGTTTAAAAAGGATTGCAAGTCAATTTTGACAGCATGACGGTTGTAAATGGGACGTTTTCAGACAAAACAATAGTGATACATACGAAAACTGTACCCAAAACAATTCTAACGTTTGCCCAACAAATGAAAACCCAAACTAAATATTGATATATACGTAATTTCTAACTTAAACAATCCTAATGTGTGCCCAACAAATGATAATCCAAACTAGATTTTAATTTAAACGACTCGAACGTTTGCCCAACCTAGATAGATAGTTACATATCCAATTATAAACATTAAAATAGATAGATATACTTACCATGACTTGGCTACACTTAGAGGTCACGTACCCCCCCTAATCTATAGATGCGGCATCTCCACTCGACCTCTTCTTATGCGTATAATCGAACAATTCCACAACGATCGATGGCACGCCGTCTTTTGCTCATGTATATAAAGGTCAAATAATACGAACACGTGTTAATTATAACATATTAAAAATCAAGCTACTAAATTAATGGGTTTTAGGTCCTACCAGATGAGCACCATGATCCAATAGAACTGTTAAAGCCCAATACAATCCTGTACAACCTAATACAATACATTAAGGAAAAAAAAGTTTGAAAAATGGGAAAATAAACAAAAGTTGGAAACCGCCCGAAATCCGCCAGAAAAGGCGGCCGGAAATCATTAAGTTTTTTTTTAAATATTGAATAATTATTACCGACAGACCCACGGAACCCACAGGAAATCCGCCGGAATATTTTAAAAATAAATTTTAATTTTTAGTTACTTTTCGGCGGATTTCCAGCAGACCTTAATTTTAAAAAATTAATTAAATATCCATCAGAAATCCGTCGGCAAATTATTATAATTAGAGTTACAACTATTCTAACATAATTAATTACAAAATCAGCCGGAAATCGATGGAAAATATTATCAGAACCGGATTACCGGCGGAAATCCGACGGAAGTCAACGAAAGCTGACTTTTTTGTTGTCCGTCGGTAATTTTCTGGTGGATTTTGTCCATCGGAAATTCCGCTGGAAATACCAATTTTCTAGTAGTGAGACTGTAGCTTTATTAATCAATTCAATGATGTTTGCATAAATTAAATCCAACACATGATCGTAACTCTAATGACACCCTAGAGGTTGTTTAACTGTGTACAAGTCTCCATTGAAGTTTTGGGTCGATGCTACTTGGACCCTTCGATCCTAAAAAAGAGTATTATGACGACAAGCACTTTTAGTTAGAGATGACAACCAAACGGGTCATTTTGCAAAATATATCTCAACCTGGCCCACATGGATGAATATGGTAGTGATGCTTTAAACTCAACCTATAAATGATCAAGCAAATATTAGTAATTATTTCCTATTAAAAAAGGATTTCTTTGGCGGCCAAATCCGTCGGAAAACGCAATTTTCAAAGGATTTTCGACGGATTTGTCGGCCAGAAAAACCCCGACGCAAAACACAATTTCCAAAGGATTTAGCCGCCAGAAAAATCTGCCTTTGATATTTGTTTGAACTTTTTCAATTTTAAATCGACAGATTTCCGACGGATTTTTCGTCAGTAATTTAATTACACTTTTTGAAAAAATTATTTTATTTTTAGAAATTGAATCTTTGTTTTAAATTTAATTAGATTACCGACGGATTATCTATCGGAAATCCGCCAGTAATTTAGTTCTTTAAATAATTATTTTTTAGAAAAATAAATTTATTGGGGGATTTATTTGCCATTGATCCGTCGGTAATTTTAAACTTTTTATTAAAAAATAATTGAAAATTATTATTCATTTTGTTCGAATTTTCTAGTACAAATAAACATTTACATATAATGCAAGAGTTGGCATATTTTGAGCCAAATGATTGTTATGAGGGGAATTATCGAACGCCTGTATTCGAAATTGTCCAAAAATGAAGAAACGAAAAACAATACAGTTCAACAAACAAAGAAACTAGATATCTATGCTAGAAAAAGCAGAATATGTTGTTAGATCTACTTGTTCTATAATGTAGTTGAATATTCTAACATTGAATGGAGATCTTGATCAAACCCTTTTGTGTAAAAAATCAGGCTGAGATGACTGTAAATCCTATGAAAGAGCGAACCAGGAAAGAGTGAAGAAGAAAAAATCTACATGTGCTCAAACTCGGGATATGGTAGAAGTAGTAGTTATAATGAGGTTTTGAAATCAAAGGCAATGGAGGAGAGCCCTTTTGGAGGGTGGTGGTTGTGAGGTTCTGGTCCCAGGCTTGGTGGGCAGTGACTCGATTCCAAGCGCTTTTAGAAGGAAGCTCCTTTCTTGATAAATGAATACAAAAATAAATCTGGTCAACATTCACATACATTAAAGGGTCTGTTTTTTAGCTGCTTAATGAGCTTAATGAGACTCGCAGCTTATTTGGTGACCTATACATGATTGTTTGGTAGTAGTTTCGTGATATAGAAAGTGGCTTATTCAGTAAGCTTTATGCAGAAAGTCAAGTTTTTTTTTTCCAAACTTACCTCTCCTAACTAAAAAACGCTCCTTCCACTTAGCTCGGGTTAATGAGCTAAACACTCTTAATTATGTCATAAAGAGTCTTTTGTAAATAACTATAGTACCCGCTGCAACTACACATCAAAGATTCACATATGACACAGTTGATCATCATGTTGTTTCATTTCCAGCTCTACATATTACGAAGGAGCATGTTGGAGGCTAAAGTTAATTTACAAGCCTATTCATCAATTTAGGTTTTAAAGTGAAAATGCCCATATGATCTTAACATTATCAACAAAGTTATCATAAATATCATTGTCTATGTTACATTTTGTTGTCATGTCATTAGCACTCAACAAATCTTTAAAAACCTAGAGAAAACCACATCCAAACGGGTGAAACTTTTGCCAACTCACTCATTGACACAACCCTGTAATTCACCATGCAGTACCTAAGTGTAGAATATCAAACTCAACACCTCTGTATTATCAGGAACAAGTTTCAACCATTGGTGATCTTTCCATGACAGTTTGTAACTCAAGTGTTGATTTAAAAACATCTTAGTCGTCTATACTTCAACAATGCCACAATAAACTGTTCTCAATTTAGGTACAAACCATTTTAAGGTATTTTTGTGCTTCAAAATAATTAAGATACTAAATGAACTTACACTTTCTGAAAATTGAGGGCTTGGAATTCCTGCTGCCAATGATCTGAACAACGGAGTTACTTAACGTGGGGAATTGACCTCTGAATTTGGCAAGGGAATTATAGCTCCAACATCATTGTCAAAGTCATCAAAAGAAGCTAAAACATTTGTAACATAAACAAAGCACAGTCTATCTCAGAGCTACCAAGATGATAACAAAGTAATTGACACCAAGTCTTCACCCAATATAGCATAATTTACCTTGGTTTGTTGTTGAGTCATGTATCATTACATTTTTACCATCAGCAATGCTAGTTGGTTGGATAACTTGGGTTGTTTGGGGTTCAACTTCACACAACCCCTCTTGAAGTGGTTCTAGTTTCTCAATCACTTGGGAGAGGACAGTTGACCCTGTACTGTACTTGGAGCTGTCAGGGAATCCTTGATATAATCAGGTTGTCTGCACAAATGAATGGTTTAAGTGTTATATGCAGGAATATTAACCATGCAAAAATGAATGGTTTAAGTGTTATAAATCATAGTGATTCTTCATTTGTCTTTGATTAACAATGAAGTTGTGAGTCCTTTTTAATGTTTTTGCTATATTGTTCCATGAGTGCATCTTAAGGATATTGCCTTGGATTCCATTCATGGACATCTCTTGTAGACAACACTCCAAGAAGGTTTTTACTACATTCTCTTTCCAACTAACCCTCGATTTTTTGGGTTCAGATGATTCATCATATGATTTCATACCTATGTCAAAAAGACCCAAACATTTCAAGGTCTTCATTATCCATCATGTTTTCAATAACAAAGCATACAAAACCAAAACACATACAAAAAAACCAAGAAATATTGACGATAATAACTAGAATTTTAAAGTACCCACGTCAAGAAATGATAAAGAAACACCATAAACTATTGAGATCACTGAAATAAATTTAATTAAATAGGTGCTAATCAAAATCCAAACAAAAATTGATCACATGGAATAAGGAATTAGACCTCCTAAGGGAAAGAAGAATAATGGTAAAAATGAGGTCGATATGCCTTTCTGGAACAAGTTGCATACATCACTCTATCTTGTATGGAAGTACTATAAGTACCAACAGATAAACCTATTGTATCCCAATACAAACAACTTAACCATTTATCAACAACCTACCTTCAAAGGAATTGAATTATTAATTTCTTCACCAACACCATATATTCAAATGTTGCTTCTAATGATCTAGTTGCCAACATCTTTGATCATCTTTGTTGCTACCGTTAATTATCCAACACTAAGTAAATTTCATTAGAAGATTCATGATACTTATTAGAAGCTAAAAACTGATGAATCTTTTCCTCTATCTCAATCCAACTTGACCCTGGCCTCTTTTTTTCTACTCCAAAATCTTTCATATTTACCCTTATTCTAGCCACCTCACTCCATCTATTTGCTTCAACAAACATCTATTTGCTATATGGGTTCACAGAAGCCATATCATAAACAAAAGTCCAAGTAGGTTCATCCAATCAGCCCCCCAAACTATCTTGTACACGATTAGTATCAGCTTGAACAAACATTTTTTTAATTCATAAAACGAGCCGACATAGAAAAATAAGCATAAAGATTCAAGATTCAGGATTCATCTGACATTTATAGAGTTTAATTATGCATAAAGTCAGTAGGATCCATTGTAAGGTAGTGTTCATTCAGATCTGAATAAGATTAGACTATACTTCTTGAAAGATCTTTTAATGAATAATCTGTAAATAAGGTGTCAAGGCCATTAAACAGTGAGCAGTCAACGCCTAAGACTGTTTTAATGCACACAAGAATGGGAGTGGACCACAAATGATCAACCAAACTCTGACATTCTACGCAAAAACATTTAAATCGAGATCTATGATCCTTGGAAGTAAATTAACTTAGGTCTCCCATAAACTAACTTCAGTGGTTGGTTGCAATCCGATTAGAAAGGCAAGATCAATTGAGTTCCGGTTGTTTCTTTAGCAACAAAGCAGTAGCTGAAATTTTAAGTACATGATCAATAATATCAGCCTCAATGGTGTTGTCGATCCAGCCTCAATACAACGATAGGTATTGGGTTGGAATTAGGTTAGGGCCATTTGAACCCAACCCAACCCAACCCAACCCAAACCCAAGCTAATGTGTTTCATACCATGTTACACATTCAAGATGGACACATAAACAAATAACATAGGCATAAATGGAAGCAAATTTAAGAACAATCATACTACCCTGGTTACAAAACTAGAACAATCAAACACACATTCTCAGCAAAACCCACCAAAATCAAAGCATTAATTTGTAATGTAAACATAACATAGTTCACAATCATACACACATATAGCAGGAATCAAGGGATAACTATTATCACTCATCATTTCAAGAACACACAACTTTGAATGATGCCCAAATGGAATTATTAACAAAATTCCTCAATAACACACAACTATTAACAGAAATCCTCAATTCGATGATCCAGGGAGAAATGTACCAAGGAGAAGAACGCAAAACTACCAAAGAGAAGGAACGAAAAATACCAGGCATAAATTTACCTTTGTGGATGTGGAGGGAGGAGGTGCGACGAGCAGCTGATGAGGGAGGAAGGTCGAGCGATGATGGAGAAGAAGTGACAGAGCCGAAAGGGGAGGAGGGTGGTGAGCAGTGAGGGAGAGGGAGAGGGAGGGGGAGGAGGCGGATACGAGCGATGGAAAACCTAATCGTGAAAAAGGCCATGCTTGGAAAGTTGATATCTGACCCGGGTAAGCATGATTTTCGTGCTGTCTCAGTAAGTATTCGATCAACATCTTGGTCAGAAAAGTATTTTGGTAAAAAATTTGACTGCTAACCGATCAGAGCTTAGTAAACAGCCACTTAATCTCAAAATAAAAGAATTTGTTACATTTTTATAGATTTTTGATCGGTGAAAGGTTAAATGATAAAATTTTAACCTTTTTTAACGGTGATGCCGTAGATGTCCAAAACCGGTGGAAATAAATAAGAGTTGGGGGAATTCTATGATTCGCGCCTTTCTTTGTCCATGGCTGCCGTTAACCTCCCCTCCATCACAACCCTAATCTCTCACTCGTCCTCTCTCCTTTACCCTCCAAAACCACCCAATTCAACCCCTTCGGTTTCTTTCCACAAAACTCCTCTTCCTATCTTCTCTAACCACACCAAAACCCCACAACTTCATCCTTCTAAAAACACCAAAGACTACTGTAACTTGCTTCATCTATCAGTTGAGCATGGCTACATCGAACTTGCCATGGCTGTTCATGCTTCAATTCTTAAGATTCAAGCGAACTCCCCATATTTGTCTAATGCACTCATCGTGGCTTATTTCAAATTGGGTCTTACGAGTCATGCTTACAAGGTGTTTAATTGTCTTGAAAATCCCGACGTGGTTACCTTCACGGCTATGATTTCTTGGTTTGCTAGGTCAAACCGAGAGATTGAAGCCATAAAGTTGTTCTTTGAAATGAGGAGGTTAGGTATCGAGCCTAATGAGTATAGTTTCGTTGCTATACTGACCGCTTGTGCGTGGGTGTTGAATCTTGAATTGGGTTCTCAAGTTCATTGTTTAGCCATCAAAATGGGGTTTTTAGGAGAAACTTATGTTTCAAATGCTCTGATGGGGTTCTATAGTAAATGTGGTTATTTAGATTGTGTGCTTGAGGTGTTTGATGAAATGTTCCAGAGAGACATCTCTTCATGGAATACAGTGATAACGGCTCTGGTCAAGAGTTCCATGTATGAAAAGGCATTGCAATTGTTTCGTGGTTTCTTACAAACAGATGAACATAGAATCGACCATTTTACTCTTTCAACCCTTCTAACTGCTTGCACTGAATATGCTGCCTTCATGGAGGGCCGTGAACTTCACGGTCATGCACTAAAATTAGGGTTAGAAAACAACTTGAGTGTTGGTAATGCACTAATTGGGTTCTACACCAAATTCAGGAGCTTAAAATATGTGGTTGGTCTGTTTGATAGAATGGCTGTTAAAGATGTAATAACCTGGACTCAGATGATATCTGTTTACATGGAATCCGGACTTCTTGAAATGGCAGAGAAGGTGTTCGATAAAATGCCTGAGAAGAATTGTGTCTCTTATAATGCCCTCTTAGCAGGGTTTTGCCAAAATGGTGTTGGGTCAAGAGCTTTGGGTATGTTTTGCAGAATGTTGGAACAAGGGGTTGAGTTGGATGATTTCTCATTAACTAGTATCATAAATGCTTGTGGATTGCTCAGAGATAAGAAGACCAGCGAACAGATTCATGGGTTCATTCTGAAATTTGGGTTTGGCTCCAATGATCGTATCGAATCTGCATTGCTTGATATGTGCACAAAATGTGGAAGAATGGCCGATGCAGAAAAGATGTTTCACAGCCAGTCAATAAGCCATGATAATTCGATTATATGGACATCAATGATTTGTGGGTATGGTAGAATTGGACAGCCATATGAAGCACTTTCTTTGTTCTTCAAAAGTCAATCTGAAAACACCATAACCATTGATGAAATTGTATCAACAACAGTCCTTGGTATTTGTTCGACCGTTGGGTTCGACAGAGTTGGAGAACAAATCCACTGTACTGCTTTGAAATCAGGTTTGATCGATGATATAGGAGTGGGAAATGCATTAATTGGAATGTATAGCAAGTGTGGCAACATGATGGCCTCAATCAAGATTTTTAATCTCATGAAGAAACATGATATAGTTTCTTGGAACAGTTTGATGGCTGGCTATGTTTTTCACCGGCAAGGGGACAAGGCCTTGGATCTATGGGCCGCAATGAAAGAGGCAAAAATACAGCCAGATTCAATCACCACCCTCTTGATAATCTCAGCTTACACACACACCACCTTGAATATGGTCAATGAATGCCATAGATTCTTTCACTCCATGAAAACCACTTACAACATAGAACCGATTTCAGATCATTATGCCTCATTGGTTGGTGTCTTTGGGCGGTGGGGTTTACTCGAACAGGCTGAGGAAATTATCAACAAAATGCCGTTTGAGCCAGACCCTTTTGTATGGAGAGCTTTGCTTGATAGTTGCAAAACACATATGAATACAATCATCGGCGAAAGGGCAGCAAAGGAAATTATTGCCAAGAAGCCAAACGATCCATCTACGTATATACTTATATCTAACTTATATTCCGCATCTGGTAGATGGCAGTGCTCTGAAACCATGAGGGAAGAGATGAGAGAAAAGGGTTTCCAGAAAAGGCCTGGAAAAAGTTGGATCATCCACGAAAACAAGGTTCATTCATTCTATGCAAGAGACAAATCACACCCCCGATCCAAAGATATTTACAGCGGGCAAGATATATTAGTTTTGGAATGTTTGAAAGCTGGATACATGCCGGATACTAGTTTTGTGCTTCATGAGGTGGAGGAGCATCATAAAAGGGATTTCTTGTACTACCATAGCGCGAAGCTAGCAGTTACATATGGTCTTTTAACGAGTAGGCGTGGGACCCCGGTTCGTGTTATGAAGAATATCCTTCTTTGTGGGGATTGTCATACATTCTTCAAGTATGTCTCTATTGTTACCAAAAGGGAGATTCATATCAGGGATGCTTCAGGCTTCCATTGTTTTGTGAATGGTGAGTGTACATGCAAAGGTAAGTGAGCTAAATGATGACATACATGTGTTTTGTTGTGCAATATTCACAAATGAATATATCATATTTTTATTAGTTTACATTGAAAGACCAGTCTTCCTTTTGTTTAGAGTATATTTATGCAGTCATTATGTATCCATTCCAACTGAAACAACTTTGACAAATGTTGGAGATACATCTGATATCACTAGTTTAGAAGTGGAGATTTTGTGTCTTCATATTAGCACTTTCTAGCAAGAAAAGTGAAAAAGTAGCACCTTTTTTTGTGGGTTTTAAAGAAAGGGCAAATTGCATGAAAAAGTAACGTACTTTAACTTGATTCCTATTTTGGGTAATGTACTTTCAAAACTTTCATTTTGGTACCTATTGATAGAGCAAATTGCATGAAAAAGTAACGTACTTTAACTTGATTCCTATTTTGGGTAACGTACTTTCAAAACTTTCATTTTGGTACCTAAGATGTAAAGTTTTAAACATTTAAGTACCCGAATAACTGGTTGAAATATTAACCGATTATCATGCTGATATGGCGAATGATGTGGTATCAAACTCGGTATTATTTGCTGACGTGGTCAGTGACGTGGATTTTTTAAAATCTAAAATTAGTCTTTTTTTTAGTCTAAAATTAGTCTTTCCGGGTTACCCGGGTACTTAAATGTTTACAACTTTACATCTTAGGTACCAAAATGAAAGTTTTGAAAGTACGTTACCCAAAATAGGAATCAAGTTAAAGTACGTTACTTTTTCATGCAATTTGCCCTTAAAGAAATAGCACCCAATTTCGTCAATCTATCTATACTACCTTATAAATCAGATTTATCAAAAGTCTTGAAAACAATTTTTAAAGCACAAAGTACTATACATTTATGTATAAAGTCTTAAAAACAACTCGTAATGCATTAAGTATTACTACTTTTGCATTCAGTCTTAAATATCTTAATCTACAATTAAAATAACATATAGTGCAAGTTACCAATGCACATTATTACTTTTTCTTTCATGTTCTCAAGATACTTTTGACACCTTTCACTCATGCCTTCACCATCTCATACCTATATGTCTTCTCCCCATCCCCCAAGGTGAGATTCAAACTGATATTTTTCATGAGTTATTAAAAGTTCTCACATTCATCTCTCATTCAATTGCTCTAGAATCTCGGTGTTGCTCTCGATCTCTTGATTCTTTGCTCTTGGTGTAAATCGAACACATTTGTGGAGTCGTTTATATATGTTGGATTTTAAACTGTCATACAATTTTTTTCATCGATAGACTGTAATTGGAATCATAACTCTTATTTATTCGAATTGTATTAATATGTAAAGACCAAGTGTAACTTATATCATTGTTCAATCTTCTCTAATAAAACCAGTGAAACTTCAAAATCGTTAAAATTCACGGCTCTTGTTGCATTGCCAGGTACACAACTAGTTCTATCAAATTCTTAGGTGGCTTTTGGTTCAAAGAACGGTACAAGATTTCCTCAAATTGGCAAAAATTTGAATTTTCGGGGATATATGACCTATTTGACTTTTCTACTAATTTGGTCCACCAACCAAAAAAAGTGGATTCGGTCAATTATGATGGAATTGGATACTGTTTTCTTAAAATCACAAAAAATGTGCTATATTTCCAATTTTCTAGTTGGAAAACCTAGATTTTGTCTTCTTTATAATAATCAGTGACTAAAGTTAATTCACTATGTTGCAGAATATTTGTTGAACCTCAGAGCAAAATAAAAAAGCATTCCACATATTCTCTCACACAACCCCTTCATGCCTAAAAGTTGTGTACATTTTATCTCCCTCACATCACATCACATCACATAGAATTTACTGGGTTTGATTAGTGGCAGGGAGAAGGAAAGTTTAGTTATACAAATTAAATAAAATAATTACTCCTTCGAACCAAAATAACTATCTATATTTTCATTTTAATTTATTTTAAAATAAGTGTCACGTAAATGATTGTTTTCCAATTTTACCCTTAATAATGAGATGGAAAAATTAGTTACTTCATTTTGCTATTGAGGATAATTATCTAGTTCATTAAAAATGTAATGATTACATTTCTAAAATTGTTTGGTATCTTTTTATTTTGGACAAAGGGAATATATGTCTAGACGCATAGTATACATGGGGTGTGTATTAGGGGCCATTTGCGAAATGTTTATCCGGATTGTTTTTATCAAGTCACATTACCTTACTGGATGAACATGGCAAGGACCGAAAATCTTACCCGATAAGAACGATGATTGGTGAGGGTGACCTTGACGACCATTACATGGTTAACGTTTATCGAGTAAATTGTTGCATACAATGTCATTTTGATGAAGTAAAATCTTAACTGGTAAGACAAGTAATAGTGTTTAATCGTACCGGTAAGCGCTTACCGGATAAGTGTTTTAGGGGCCATTTACCAAACATTTACCTGGTAAACGCTAATTGGTAAAATTCTACATTATCACTTACTCACCAAATAAGGTTTGTTAGGACTGAATTTCTGTGTAAATTGTATATGTCTTGAAAAGATAATTTTGTCTATAATTGTTAGAAAATCATCGTGTTTGACTTTTCTTATGTAGTTTGACTTTGACTAGAGGGTTCAAGTTTGACCCTATATAAAGCTTGTATTTAGTGAATTAGTGTAGGAGATTGATTTTGTAAACAATACGTATATTTGAGAAATACAAGAGCTTTGACTGATTGACTTTCTCTCTCAATCTCCTTACATGTTCTTGAGTGTTAAATCTAGATCTGCCATGGATTCTTAGAAGTTTTATGCCATGGATTCTTAGAAGTTTTACTTGAAGATTGATCATAGTGGACTATCAATTGCTAAGGTCCTACGATTTAGCCTAACTCGCACAAGGCACATCCGGATTTGATATTTATCGCCTAACAGCCCATCCGATTTAGTCATACCTCGCTCAACCCCTCTTTCAGATTTGTGTTTATTGGTCATCCTGTTAGCCTTGATAAAGCATCATCGTTCTTCGTCACTAAATTAGCTGGACTGTGTCTTTCATCGCACGATAAGATTTCTGATTTCGATTAACAACTTCCTTCCATTTCCGATTTCATCTAAATCATTCACTACATCGATTTAATACAAATTCTTCGAGTTAACCTTTGCTCGCACAACCTTCTGTCCAATTAGCTTCATCTGAACTTACCTAAATCATCTAAATCGCCCATACCCCTTGACCGATTGAGCTTGACCTCGCATCTGTTTTCATCTGGATTTGAGAACCCTCTAACCGGATTTCACCTTAAATTGCTCGAAGAATCTGTTTCAACCCTAAAATCTGTTTTCATCCGGATTGTCACTTCCCTGTAACTTTTTGGGCTTTTCTCAATCATCTCAGAATTATTTGGTTTGGGCTTGGTTGTTTAATAAGCCCATTTAATTTTTTCTAGCCTATTTTTTTGTTGTTTTTGTCTAATATTTTTTTTGGGCTTGATTCTTTTGGACTTAATTGTATCTCTATGCCCATTTTTTTTTCTATTCTATTTCTTGGCCCAAGTTCTCATTTTGTTTTAAAATCTTCCTTTTAGATTTTTTTTTGAATCTCATTTTGTTTGGATTTCACTGATTTTGATCTATATTGCATTGCATTTTTCTGTTTTTGAGAATTTCATAGATTTTTATCTGTTTTGAAGTTTTTGAACTAATTTGTATCGCGTAAACTATTTTTTATAATCAGTTTTAACAGTTTTTGACTGTTTTTAATAGTTTTAACTGTTTTCAACAGTTTTTGACTGTTTTTATAGATTTTTAACTGTTTTCGCTGATTTTCTGATTTCTCAACAATTTTTATTTTTTTTTTCTGTTATTTTTTTGAGCTTATTAGTTTTTGATTTCTTTGAACTGATTTCACAGCATTAGATTCGTTGATCAATCTGAAATGACAGTATATTTTGAAAAAAGAGAATATAAAGCTGAAAGATAAAGTTTCTGAATTGGAGAAAAACTTAAAGGACTATACAGATAAATATATTAATATGTTCTATAAAAATCATGCAAATGAGGAATTTATTAAAGATTTAAAACGGGAACAAAAAGAAAGATGTGAACATATTGAAAATGATTTCATGTATAAGATTGAAAAGTTGGAGAATACTCTGAATTCTGTCAGAAAAGAGTATGATGATGAATTGAAAATTTGGAGTAAAGCTAATAAAGATCTATTTAATAAACTTCAAGAGGTTAGAAGTGAACTACAAATTGAAAGAAACTTTTCTGGAAGGAATAATACAGAGACTGAGGACTTAACTGATAAACTTCATAAGTCTAAGAGTGATCTGAGTGAGTTAAGGAAATTACTGGACTTAGAGAAGGAAAAAGTTCTAGAAGCCGAGAAGAGTTTGAGTGTTGAAAGAATAGATTTTGAGAAAGAAAAGAAAAGGTTTCTTGAAGTAGAGAAAAGATTTGGTGCTGAATGCATATCTTATGAAAATAAGATAAACTCTCTCGAACGGAATGCTAAAATGCTGTTAAAGCAAATCTCGGATTTTGAGCAGCTGATTATCTTGGAACGAGTCAAGATAGATAAAGAGAAGAACGAAATCAAAGAAGAATGTTTGAGCCAGAATCATAAACTGTCTAACAGCATTGCTAAAAAACAGAAGGCTTTAGACGAAGAGAAGAAGCTATTTGCGCTTGAAAAGAGAAATAGTTCAAAGAAATATGCAGTTATAGCTAAAGAGCTTGTTGAAAAGAAAAAATGGCTCGACATCGCTTCTGAGAATGGGAAGAGCAGCTCAGATGAAGAGAGAAGAGAGTTTGATAATCAAAAGAAGAAATTTGAGAAGCCGAAGAAGGAGTTAGAAGGTAAACTTCTGGACACTTCAAGGAAATTGTCTGACCTGAAGACAGAACTTGAAACTGAATTGAAGATGAGAACTGAACTTAAAGAGAAGTATTTAGTTGCTGATGAACGAGACCAGCTTTTAAAGAAAGTCAAAGACTTTTCTTATGCTCAAAGCTCAACTGGTTCTCCTTCTAAGTGTAAAACCAACTTTTATGACTGTTCCAAATCTAACAGTTATTCTAGCGGCCCTAAATCTACTGTTTCTATGAACTATTCTC